TTGACTCATCGCTTTCCAAGGACAGTTAGTGCCTTCCATCTTCATTAACGTGAATAAAGACCTTGGCTGATTTCTTTCCAGATCGGATTTTTAAAGGCATTGTTTGCTTGGGGAGATCATGCCGCTCCCCTCCCCTGCCAGCCTTTTTACAAAGGCCGAGCCAGATCCAGCCAGGATGGCTGAGATATCTTTGCCCGGGGACGTGGTTTGCTGGCATTGTCTGCGGGCCCTTTCTGGAAGGCTGTCGCGAGCGAGCTGGGCTCATGGGGAGCGTCCCTTCTGCAGCTCCTCTTCAGATCTTGGTGATAAAACACATCCCTCTATTTTATTGCATTTCCTAGAAGCTTGCGGGCTTGCAAGAGCGCTGTTGGCAGGAAACGTGATATAAATGAAAGTCAGGCCATAATGTCCCTGAACACCTCGGTCACCCAAAACGACTGCCGAGGCCACCACGTTACCAAATAAGCTTTCATCTACTGTCAATTCCCTCACCCTCCCTCCCCCTATCCAAGAGCGCGGAGTATCCCCCCCACCCCACCCCAACAAAAACAACTCCGTGGTTTGAGCCCACCCGCTACCGCTGGACCATTGTGACAGGACCGGAGTAGCTGTTTAGCTGAGATGCTGCGGAGAAAGGGAGCGCTTCGGCAGGATCCTTAATGTGGGTTTCACTGCGGCAGCTCCAGCCTTATTAAAATTCCTCGTCCCTGCCTCTAAACAGTGCTTTGCACTTCCACTCTCCTTTGGATTTCTCAGCGAGTTACTGTAGTTATTAGATTACCAATAATCCAAAAGCCGGGATTGGGCGGGGGGCGGGGGGAGGAGGTAGGGAGGGGAGAACGGAAGGACTTCTCCAGATCCTGAGACTGTCTAAACTAGGTCAATGGGAAGGAGGGGCGGGGCGACGAGAGGCTTGTTGGTTTCCAGCCTTGATGGAGGGCTCCCTCTAGTGTTAGTCCATGATAAAACATGATTAGGTTTGAGCTCCCGGAACCACGGGACTCCTAATTTACAATAAATGCATTTACTTAATTTTAACTTCTTTTCCTGGATTCTCAGCCCATTCCATATTAAATTTCAGCTTTCGCTTTCACGTTTATTCCACCGGGGAAAAGGATGAGAAAGCTTTCAAGTCAGATTTTATGAGGCTGAAAAGGCCCGGTCTTAATGAACGGACATTGACCTCATCTCCGCCGCTGATGGGATGCGCGGAGGCGTGTGACACTATCGCGGGTTTTAGGACGCAGCTGAGGCCTGAAGGCAGCTTCTTTTGCACCTCCCATCCCCCACCCCAGGCCCCCGAAACTGCCTCTCGGAGCCGGCTACTGAGACCAATTAGGAGATGGCTCCCGGGGAGTTATAATTTCGAGGGAGGCCACGGGAAGGCGAGGCAACCTCGGAGCGCGCGGTGGGGTCCGCGCCCGGGCCTCTGCTGAATCCTAACCATATCGCTACGGTTTCGGAGAAAGTGAATTCGGAAATCTCAAAACATGTCCAGGTTTGACCTGGCAGCTCCTATTCTGAAGATTTAGAGCGGAAACCGAGCCGAGCTGGGTTCCACTACTTGCTAACGTAGGCAGAAAGGGGCTTTCGGTTTAGTTTCCTCCAGCTCGGCTATGAGCGCTGAATGGAGACCCTCAGCCCTAGGGACTCCATCTTTTTTGACCTTGACGGCTCGCCTAACCACTCTCTTGGGGGTTGGGAGCCAAACAAAAAGAGAAAAAGAAATGACGCCCCAGGCAAACAAACGCCGGAACTGGGCAACTGGAAGTCATGAAATGAGCCTCGGATTTCACCCCAAATCCTGGATTTTATACTGGCTTTGCTACTAACTTGTCTGACAGTCGTCATTTATAAAATCGTCATAGGGGAAGAGTTGGACTAAGTGAGCTGTAAGAGTCCGTGGATAGGGCGCGGCCGAGGGATTTAGGGGAAAGTGTGCCATATTCCCCGCGAGCCTCCGCGGGCGGCCCCCCCTCCTCGGTGAATCCCCGGCGGCCCGCTGCGCAGGCAGAGATCCTGGAGGCCGTCGGGGGCCGGCAGCTTCCTGGAAAGTTACTTCTCGTTGGAGCCGGCGATAGGCAGAGAGCGTTCTGTGAAATCCGCTGAGCTGAGATCGACTACGTTCCGGGAATGAGAGGGCTGTGCCATTCCCCTCACTGCCCCCTGCCTTGACAGCTTAACAGGAAAAAAAAAAGGGCACATACAATGTTAGCTACCGAGGTGCAGGGAAAGTTTTATTTGAAGGCAAACAAATTAAGGGCTGCCACAGTCTTACCACGGGGCCTCCGCCGAGCCTGCGGGGGCTTGGAGGCGGATGGGCAGCGGTGCGGGCCCGACAGCCCCGGGTGGGCGTTCCCTGGCAGACAGGTACGGTATGATGGGGGTGGGCAAATCTGTGCCAGCTTGCTCCGGCGCGCAGGGCTGGAGTTTGCCTGTGTGTGTAAGCGAGAGAATGGGCTGCGTAGTGTCTGCCGACTGGAAGAGGGAGGGAAAGGATGGGGTCTTTGTATTGGCTTGCTCTCTCTGAACCTTGCCTCTCGCCCTTCTCTCATCTCTCATCTCTCTCTCTCTCTTCTCTCTCTC